ACACACACACACACACACACACACACACACACACACACACACACACACACACACACACACACTCACACGCTTCTGTTCTCGTGAGAACTCCAATACACTGGCCACCTACAGATAACACCCTTACACACACTCCTTCCTGTATCTTTAAAACCTTACAGTTACTTCCTCTGCCTCAGTCTGTCTGCTTGTGCCCTGTGGGGTCTGACGCTGGTCTTCTGCCCAGCTGCCTCCCTCTTTTACTATACTGGAAACCAGCAATGTTTCCAGTTCACCTTGCAGCATAATTTTCTTATTTTTCTTACAAGGAAATACAACATTTTGTGTCGGGCTGCTCAGCCCAGAAACCTGAAACATCATCCTGCTGTGAGTTCTTCAGATTCCTGAGTTCCTGGTCGACCTGCTGGTTTTGAACCACCGCCATGTTGCTGAAAGACCGAGTCCATGAAAAGAACCTGTTTGCCGGTTCGCCTGACCAAGAGATGCCCGGCATATGCTGTCCTACAAGCATCTTCCCAGAGCTACGTCTGGTCTCGTGTGAAAGGTCTCCGGACTACGGTAAAAGCTAAAACGTTGGCTCATCTTGGTCCCAGGCCCATTCACTCACAGCTTAACATAATCTAGCCTTAAAAACCTTTAGAACCTTAAAAGATCTATTTTGTCTATTTGTTTGTCTTCTGTCTCTGTCTCTCCCACACTCTCTCTCTCCTCATCCATATGCACGCACACACACACACACTGACCCGACCCTTTGGTACATAAATTAATCTGCTTTTGCCTAGTTAATACTGTTAGACAAATTGTTTAAAGTAGAAACAATAACGTAGTGAGAGCCCATTTATTATTTGATTGTATGTAACCACATATTAATCACCCAATATTACTCTCTTTAATAAAAGTCAGTTAATTTTAACTGGCCAAAATAAACTGGAACAACTTTGTGTGTTTTCTGTGTATTGTGGTGATTGGTTGTTTTGCTTCAACAGATACCATCTTCGAACTGGGAAGAGAAACTCAGTTAAAATCATATTCATGATTTTTGACAGGGGGTTATCTCTACACACCAGATTTAGCCTAATGCTACTTTACATCTGTAGTCCCATCAAACAGTAAAAACAAAACAACATTTGAAGAGACTTCCGTGGAGGAGATTAGAAAACACAGAAACTTTATGAAGATCAATGAAGGAATCTAAAGACTTTCAGCGAGCAACAAATTCATGGGAGGAAATAGCTCAGATCAGTTATTTTCTTCTGTTGTTTTAAAGCTAAAATGCAAACTCTCTCTTCCTCCTTGTCCTTGATATCATGACTGAAATTCCAAGAAATTAAAAAATTTGTCAAGCGGTGAGTATGCTCGAGTATCAAGTCTCTAACATCCGCAGACAATATGCGCTGAGTCCGTGACTGCACACACAGTATGCCTGAGTATGTGGGAGCCTTAAAGTTTGGGAAAGTTCTCATTACCCTGACAAGGAAAACTCTAAGTACACTGGTTGGAGTCTTAACTGAGCACAACCCTCTTAACCACCAGAAAGTGGTGTTGGGATTCCATGACAATGGTCTGTGATGCCTGTGGCATTGAATTAGAGACTTCTTTGCACTACTTGGGCCACTGCCTGGCTCTGAGTAGTCAAAGGAAAAAAAATCTTAGGGATCTCTTCATGGATCCCAAGAAGCTCAGAACACTGTGTTTCTAACCTTGTGTCTTTCATTCGAGGGACTCAAAGGTTTGAATAAAGCTCAGTGTCTTTTTAGGGAGAGCAGTGGGCCCACTTATGAGGTCCCCATTTATAAGGGTTCTTTATACATCCCCACTCACCATAAACCATAACAATTTCCCTGCGGAACACAGAGAGGTGCTAGAAAAATTTTCCACTCTTTCCCTTGTCAGCAAAATTTAGAAAAAGACAGTGTTTATTTCAAGGTCCAAATATTCAGTTTTGTGTATGGGGACCAACTATGCTCGTCTCACCACCGGACTTACTTCCAGCTTGCATCTATACCTCAAAAAGACATGGGTTGGCTTTTAAGGCTGCCACAATGCACAGATGTCTTTGTAAAATCTGTGGTGGCATGGCGCAATAGTGGTCGCATGAGCCAGGGTCGGCCAGCGCCTCCTGCGCATGCTTCACCCTGAGGCGTACAATGCAAAGTGGATGTGGATCTTTTACAGAGATTGCTAATCTGTAGGGGGCTAGGCAAGAGTGGGACTAAACATCCCTAGCCTTGCCGCCCCCAGACTCCCCCGAGAGGGACCGGCTGTAGCCATCCTGCTAGTACTTAACTTTGACAGCCTTAGGTTGCAACAAAAGTAAGTTTTTTTGGCTTCTACCTGGCTCCCACCTGCCTAAACCTTTATGAAAATGTATTTTTCTTGACAGGTCCAAATACCAGAAAATTCCATGTTCTGGACAAACCTTGATGGCTCAGTCAACAAACAGTTAAATGAGTAGTCCAGGTCCAGGACCGCTGAGGAGCTACTTTGACCTTCGTGTTGGGCAAGGGCGTTTATTAAAGGGCGGTGGTGGGGTGGGGCGCATTGTTCTGTCAGTGACAGACATGGTAGTGTTCGAGCTTCCATGATTGATCACACCTGAAGATGCTTCCCATAGTGAAATATCGAGCGTGGTTTGGAAGAGAACCTAAAGACTGTATTTCATCAAGAAGAGAACTTTCTTTGACAATGCTGTACAGTAACTGGTCCAGGCAAGGAAAACATTTAATGTACAGTTGAAAGTTGCTTTTGGACAAAACCCTTCTAAATGCACCCTAGGGATTTAGACAACTATTAAAATTTCTGGAACAATACTTTGTTACAAATCTCCATGTGCATATATTTGTAACACCAACAGTGTGATTTGCATGTTAATGGCTCATACCTACGTGTTGTTGTTCCATTGGCTGATTTTATTGCTTTCACATGGTGTTGTTACTGTATTTATTTTAGTTTGCAGGCACATTCACTTCCATTACAGCTGCATATCGACAATTAATGCATTCTGGTTCTGATTCTGAGGGCTGGTTCCAAGAAGGACAACATATTTTCAAGGATTTTCTCTCTGGTGCAATTTATACTGCAGCCAAACAGATGTTGGTAAATGAGTGAAAACTATGTGGTGACACAGAATGTAGGCTTGATAAGCCCAGGGCTTCAAGGTTGGACCTCTTTTTAGTGTTTTAAGTTTTAGAGCCAAAAAAAGGTTAGCCAATATACATAAATATAAAACAAAATTAGTGTTTATCAGGCAAGATTTTGGTGCTGCATTATTCTAAAGCAGTCATGTTGTTCTAATTAATCCCCATTTAATGTTCAGTCACTGTCCAGTTGCAATGAAGAGTAATAATGTACAGAAATATCTAGAGTTATTGTTCAGTCAGCAGGTTATTGTTGGTAGAACTCCTACTCTGAGAAACTAAATAATTAAAACAATAAATAAATTTAATTTGAATATTTTCTTACATATTTTATTTTATTTTATGTAAATGTTTCAAATGGAAAATATGTCCCATATGAAAAAAGAGAACTTTCTAATGATTTACTGACTAAATTTAAACAATAAAATGGACTGTACTTACATCCCTTTATCAATGAGATACTACTTTTAATGAATGTTCATAATGTTCTATTATATTTGTCACTCAGCTGATGTGTATTTGGAAGAATCACATTCTGTGGCAGCAGTGAATGAAATATAACCTGCCTACTGTGGGTTGGAGAAAAAGCACTGCAAAAAGATTCCCAAAACTCTTAACCAGAGCAGAGAGGCTGCAATATGCCAACATGAAGAGGATGAACTTTTAGTTTTTTTGAAAATAATTTCAAATGTCAGGAACTGGAACACAGTGCTGCATTTAGAAACAATCATGTTTCCACTTCCTGAGAGTGTGCACGGTTTGCAGTTGTTTGTGAGGCAGGAGAGGAGGAAAGAGAAGAACGTGGGCAAAGAACAGACAATAGAGATGGCAAATTTTAGCTGCTTTGTTCTGTCACTGTTTATAATAGAAAGGTCTTTGTGTGAATGACAACAGCAGTGACAGCAGTTCTAAATGAATTCAAAAAATAAAAAAACAAAACAATATGGTGTTTGTGGAAATGACATAAAATATTGTTACAATGAATATTCAGAAAGCAAAGCTTTTCCTCAATGAATGAATGCAATATAATTATGTTTGAAAATTTCAAAGAAAGAAGCAAAATGACAACACTGAGACTTACTTCCTTGAGGGAAACCACCCCAATAAGGCGGCCGATGCTGGTGACGTAGGCATGATCAAGACCCAGCAGGGAGAAAATGGTGTGAGTCTATAGAAAAGAAAAAGAGGGAATGAATCGTTAGAGCAAAACATGGACAGCACTGAAAAGAGCTTCTGTCTGGAAACTGAGCTCATTTAGAGAAAGGCACCACTGACTTTAATTATCCAAGACTTAGTTCTCAATATATTCATCTAAATGTGTAGTTAATTGGATAAAGCCACTTTGGATCTTGCACTAGATCAAACACTAAAACTGTCCTGCTTAAAGTGCTTGCGACATCAATTTCTTGCTATGAACATGAAAGCTTTTTTGGAAATATAACATTGACAACACACACTATTGCAAAACAAATTTCATGCCACTGAGATGAACAGTTGATGAGATGTTGTCATGTGAAGAAACAGGAAGTGATGTCAAAGGGGAATGTCTGCATGCAAACAGAGCGTTGCTACAAAAGCTAACAACACAGACTGTAGTAGATCTGAAGTTTCTTTAGATTATTTTTAGTCGCTATCAAAGAGAGACAAAGAGTTAAAGTTTAAAGACCGAGTTTATTTTATTAATGAGTTCCCCTTTGATGTCACTTCCTGTTTCACTTTGGCTGAGCCAAATTTAAAAGAAAATAGGCCAGTTATGTGACAAAATGAGTAAAATCATGTATACTATGGCTATTTTCTTAAGTATAAAGATGCTTTCTTTGACCTTTTGTCTTTGAAGGATGTCACAGGCACTTTAACCCCTAATGCTAAAAAACTGCTGCTTAAAGAGGAAAAATATTATTTGAATGTAAAGATAGAAAACATTGTGGGTGCTGCAGAAATCTATCAGTCTTTATCAACACCATGTCCGCATGTTTAATTAAAACTCTTTATGAGAGCGATAAATGACCACAAAAGGACCCTGCAGCTCTTTTAATAGCCAGACAATCATAATAATCTTATAATTTGAATAGAGGAACCAGGGGCGGACTGGGGAGAAAACGTGGCCCGGGAGTTCCCGACAGACTGGCCCAATTTCAAAGGCTGTTGAAAATACTCAGACTTGAACATGATTTTGTTCAAAATAAATACATTTACAAAGCATTTATTTGAGATGTACAGTGTGTACCTGTGAAGCTAAGGTGCAGGTTGTTGTTCTGTGAGAGGAAACTGGAATACTGAGAACAAATCAATTCATGCAGAGGGAGAACATGTAAAMACCACCCAAAAAGGTTCCAGGCTGGGATTTGATCCAGCAACTGAAAAACAAGTACCACTACCAACTGAGCCAATGAGTTACCAAATGTTTTATCTATGATGCTTATTAAGATGCTCAACAGTCATCCAGATAAAAAAATTATATACGTATGTAGACCTTCATGAAGCTCTAAAGCTCCCAGTACTAGAAACATTTTCAACTGACAAAGCCTCCCTGACTGGAAGAGAAACATCTACAGTTTCAAAATAGAAGTCCAGTATATATATATATAGCTTAAAATATTGATTTATTTAAAGCCTCTAACCTCATGAAAAGCTTCATTCTGATATTGAGGACATTTATTTTGTACTAGTTGTCTTTTTTCAGATGAACTATTTTAAGTTTATTTTTTAATTTAAGTAAAATATATATTTAGATTTTTAATTCTTAGTTTTTCAAAAAAACATTTTATATTTAAAAGGTTCTACTAATCTTAATAGCTGGGAATGATTTAAATAAGCACAAAGCTTGGGACTCAAGAGGATAAAAATGGTGGGGCACAGCCCCCCGTGACCATCTACAGTGAAAGGACGAGCTGGAGCACTGCATACCTCTGTTAGATCTAGCTGGGACCAGACTTTTCAAATTCTTCTTCTGAGTTATTAGTAAGCACAGAGCTGATTTGTTGTCATGGGCTGAGCTTTATGGGGGAAGTTTTCTGATCGATGCCTCTTGGCCCCGTTAGAGCCACTGCACAGCGCATCTCTCTGCTGGATGTCAGAGACAAATGAAGATTTAATTTATGCGGCACTAATAGGGACAAGGCATTAATTTTGTGAATGATTACTTTTTAATAAGCGCCACTGCTTGTTTTAGTAGCCCGCCAGGGGTTATTGGGACTAGTTTTTCTGATCTCCGCTCTTCATCATCGGCTCAGTTCAGGTGGTGCCCTGCAGCGCAAATCAGCTGTGCGGTATGATCGGCCTGACCGGTGCTGAGGAGAGGTAGAAGTCAACTGATATGGCATAGTTTGGAGCACAATGAACCCAGAAAAACATCAGCGCCCCAGAACCTGTTGCTCCTTGATGTCGCACTCGCCCTGCACAGACGAACCGCGCGTGGGAGGCCAGTGGTTCACTCCAGGCTCACTTCAGCCTTCACTTCGGACTGAACCACTGTCCCTCTGACCTGCGTCTGGGCCGGTGGTTCAGGGGCTGAAGTGAACCACCGACCCCCCCGCCCTGCGTAGACGACGGGCGGGGGGCCGGTGGTTAAGCTTGTGGGCCGGTTCACAGGCACCAAACCACTGGCCCACCGGGGATTTCCCCGGTAGCCCCGTATGCCAGTCTGCCCCTGGGAGGAACAGTCAAATAAATGTTAGCTAGTCCATGCTTTTAACCACTCCTGGTTCTGCAAAGCTTTTTACAACAGAAAATCAGAAGCTAGGATGTGAGTTCCAGTAACACTTATTTGGAATCAGCAGGAATCAAACAGAATGCAGCTCAAATACTTACAATGTAACACAAATGTCCCGAGTGTACCAATGATGCCACAAGAATGGTCCCTGATAGAGTATCAGAATACTTTTTAGCTAATCAGCTAAAAAATGTAAATCTTTTGTTTCAAACTTGAATCTTATATTTACTAAATTTTCATTAGATGTTCCCAGTTTTTCACTTTTCTGCTCTTGTACATTTATAAATATTGGGACTGTTGTCTGCAACAGTGATCCAGCTTCCAAATATATATTTTTTGATGAAAATCCTGAAACTGAGATTTACTTTTTTAGCCCTAAAAGGCAATATGTTCAATACACAACTGCAAGTTAAACCAAAACCCCTTAACAGTGACAGAAAATAGTTATGTACAGTAAATATTTCAAGACAAAAATAATTTCAAACACACAACAAACACATATAAAAGCCAGATAAAAAGAACTATCAACACATGCAGCAGCTTGCAGAGGCAGTGTTCAATGTGGAGGGTGTACGTGTGTTTGGATTTGTTGCATTGTGCAGTGGAGGGAGGGGCATGAGATGGATTGGTGCAGGATCCCGCTCTTAAATGTTTAAAGAGTATTCACAGCGAGTCCTGAGGATGTTGGAGAAAGAATGTGGTGTTATAAATGGAGGACATTAGGTGCTGCCACCACCGCTGGCAAGCCAAAGTTCTTCTGTGCACATATACTTAGAGAGGAAGTATTTCAGCTCTCAGTTGTGTTTGTGTGGCCGTACTCTGTGTGTGTGTGTGTGTGTGTGTGTGTGTGTGTGTGTGTATGTGTATGTGTGTGTGTGTGTGTGTGTGTGTGCTGAAGACAGAACTTCCTCCAGGGTAAATAAATGTGCTGCAATAAAGGAACTAAAACAACACAACCACTAGCATCTTTTTGTTATGCTGCACTTTCACTTCAACTCCACCATGAAGAACTTTTTTTCCCTCACTGTTTATCACTCCTCAAAAAAATTAATAAAAGAATAAAATGAAAAAAAATCTAAGGTAGGTTTGACTAAATTTACATTGCTTGTTGGATAAAAGCTGAATGTTTCTGTCTAAGTTTGTCAGAACTTCTGATTGCAAGTATAGAATTGGAGCACCAATCAAGGCATTTTTTTGGTATTAAAGTAGCTTGGCACTTTCAGCTCCTGATAATTACATTCTATGGTTTTACATCATGTTAGCTGAGTTTACTACAAGCTGTACAGCAGCCATAAAACAGCACCCCATGTGATGCATGGGCCTAGAAATTAAATGCACCTGAGTGCAAATTGTTTTTTCTGTCGGTGGACAGTAAAAAAATACTGGCTGACATCATATAAACATCGTGCAGGACACAAATGCTCTATTTGCTAAAGTTTACGTTTGAATCATATTTTCATGTTCCATTTGCTGTTTTCATGATGTTTGCTGTTTTATCGAGTAAAACCGCAATGAACTTGACAACGCAGCTTAGATTTTTGTGATCACTGTAGTTATACTAGCCTGGCCCTTGCCTCCCTACACAGTCCCGCTAAATTCTAGTTTCCCTTCTCTGCTCCATCTGGGGTTTCTCCCATAGACAAGGATTGTCAGTAGAATTTCAACCAATCACAGAACAGAAGGAAGAGTTGTGAATGACAACATTAATTTTCTGCGCCTTTTTAGTCTGCCATTTAGCAATGGAGGTGGAGGAAGTGAATGAAGCCAGTCCATGTTGATAAGGTTCCAAATTAAATTAGATTCGTTTCACAATGCTTGCAGCTCTCATTTACAGCCGTCTTGTTCGGCTTGGTACTTTTCTCTTCCCAGTAGGGGATGGTTGTTTACGGTGAACGCAATTTCGCTTCTTAGCTTAGCTTCCTTCATGGTCGAGCTGATGCACTACATATGTCATGGCCCAAATGTTAGTGACTGGATAAATCAGATCTAATCGTTAAACTTTAACAGAGTAAGAAATTGCTTCAACAGCTGAGGTTCCAGACCCTCTGTACAAAGCAAAGGACAAGGGGCTGGTTTTTATCAGGCTATAGTATACATATCCAGAATAAACTTACAATATTCTGATCTGCAATATTTGTTTTTGATTAATTAAAATTTTAAATAATTAAATAATTAATTAAATTTGATTAAATTACATTTGTTTAATTAAAGCTTAGAATGCTATACAGCATGTCGAGAAATTTTAATAAATATTGAAATTAATTTCCCCATGTCTGAACTCAACTTTGGGTGGAGATGTGAAAACCCAAAACAACACAGACTTTGAAAATAAGGTTAATTAGTGTTGCAGTCAGAGAGACAGAGTGGTTAGCAGCAGCTGTATGTCCAATCAGACCTTGTGCAGCGATGTGCGCTCCACCAGCTGGAAGGGGGCGGGGTCTATCTTGCAGGTGTTGAAGTCGACTTGCTCATCAAGCTGCTTCTCCTCCCATTCTGTTATCTGGAAATCAAACAGATCAGTAATTTTCAGTGTATTTTTCATAAGTTAAAATGCAAAATCAAACTGCAGCATAATTTGTTAGAGTCAAAGACTACAGCTACACAAACTGATTACATAATGTCTTTATGAGTAGTGTCAGTCAGTAATCAGAAGACAAAGACATGAAATATTTCAAACTACCATCTACCAAATGACGTCTGTCCACAGAAAATAAATGGACCAGGCAGAGCTCTGAATGATGTCAAGTGAAACTTGAAGTAACACAGCTGTTGAAAAAGGCAGGAGGAGGATTGAGGAGTGACTCTGCAGGAAAACATGGTGATGGAAGGAGAATGTATGAGGAATGTGCCTCAGACAGACAGGAAATGAGAGGTGATGTTGATGGATGAATTATGAATGATGTCATATCCAAAAATATAAGACTCCAGGGTAACTGACCTATCAGGGCATACTGTAAAAACTGAACAGCCTGGTCTGTCAGACTGGGACGTCATCAGGTGCAAACTGAGATGTCAGTTATACAAATTCATGTTTCAAAAACTTAACGGATTTTACTAACAGCTTAAAGGAAAACAACAGGAGTTTTTGTCCTGGACCAGTATCACTTATCTATTATTTAATAATTTTTTTATTTACCATTATTTTACCAGGCAAGTCCCATTGAGATCTCAGATCTCTTTTTCAAGGCAGGCCTGGGCCTGAAGACAACCTATTGTACATGTTTTGTTGGGTGGGGAAAACTGGAGTATCCGGAGAAAACCCACGCAAGCACGAGGAGAACATGAAAACTCCACACAGAAAGACCCCAGGTACAAACCGGGGACCAAACCCAGGACCTTCTTGCTGTGGGGCGTCGGTGCTAACCACTGAGCCGTTGTGCTGCCCAGTCATCTAAGGAAGTTATCAACCCTTACTAAAAATTTAATATGGGTTAAAACAGTCCAAGCATAAAACTTTTACTAAAATTTCTTAAACTATAGTGTCCGGTCATTTAATGAAATTACTGCATGTTTTATGGAATAATATCTATGCATTTGTGACTTATTTTAAATTATGTAGTTATCAGATAAAAACGCTCATCTAAAGCATTTCCCAAACTTTTCAGCTTTTGACTCGCACAATAAAAATGCAGACATGATCCTGACTAGGGATGCACAATATATCTGTATTGATATCGGCCGATATTGGTCATTTTTTAGAATATCGGTATCGGTCTGATATGTAAAACTGGGCCTATATTAAGGTCCAGTATTGATTTCCCACTTTTTAGCTTTGTGTTTCTGTTTTGGGAGGGGGGATGGTTGGTTGAGCTGCATCTGTTTGATCATGACAGTGATATTGATGCTTTCAGCCAGGAATAACTGAAGTAGAGAGCCATGTCAGGTCTGGTTATTTATTTACGTTATCAAAAAAAGACCCAAGTGTATTTGTGTGTATATGTATATTATAATTTGTGTGTTTGTGTAATATCAGTAAATATTGGTTACCGGCCATAACAGCAATAATTATATCAGACATCGATATCGGCTGAAATTTTCATATTGCTGCACCACTAATCCTGATTATTGCTGACTGAAGTATACATTCATAGTTAAAAAGCCATTTAAACATTTCATTTTCATTTATTTATTTAAAAGGGGACAGTGCAATTTAATAAAACATATGACAATCCATAAGTTAAAAAAGCCAGAATTAGCCAAACAGCTATTTTTCATCTGTAGTCCCCTGGCCATGATGTTAAAAAGCAGCATGATACAAGAATAAAATACAGTACTAATACAATAAATAAGAGTAGGAAATTAATCATAAAAAACACACAATACAACACATTAAATACAGCTAATATTTAGTGTTCGCAGATGTAAGAATCAGCAAGCCATTTTTTAAGATGCTTAGTGAAAGACCTACAGGTTGATAGCTGTCTTATTTCATCTGGTAGGGAGTTCCATTCCCAAGCACCTCTCACAGACCAAACTGACTGACCAAAGGTGCTTCTCCTCAAAGGGACAACACAGTCTCCTCTAACAGAACCTCTCGTCACACGGTCACTGCTATTTCTCTGACCGATAAACTCTGAGAGAGGAGCTGGGGATAAATTATGAATTACCTTACATTTAACCATTTTATTCTTTGTTTTACATTTACTACATTACAATCTGTTCTTTTATTGGCTAAATGACAGATCTCAGTGGTTGTAAAGTTCTTGTCTAAAGTTAGTCTCTTACCTCTCTAAGAGTCATGTCATCTTCCACATCATCGTCATCCTATAAATGAGAAGAGATAAAAAACAGTGTGTACACAAAAGTAGAAGTAATCAGTGTGTGCAGTACAAGAGGAAACATACAGCCAACATCACAAGCACACTGTAAATAAATGGCACATACAGTTCCACTCACAGGGTTATTATCTTAATAAACATTTGTAATTTTCTACTGTAGATCTGTGCCCAGAAGGCAAAACAACACCTAATGGCCCATGCATCATGAGTGTTATATTGCTCCACTGTCTAGAGACAGATGGACAGAAATGAGATGAGCGACTACAGTACATTTAATGAGTGCGGACGATGTGAGGTATGATGTGTCAGAGCAGATGATCATCACAGTGAAGGATCTGCGACGAGCTCTGGACTCACAGCTCGTAACAGACAGTCTGACGTTGTTTGTCAAGCTGGATTGAAACCAGCAACCATGTGTGTTGCAGAGGACAGAATACTGCAACGGTCTGGGTGACTCACAGCTCATTGGAGAATGCTACTGCAGGGTGCGTGTGTGCACCAAGCTGTAAAATACAATTTTGAAATGTTCCGTCATTTGCTCCAATACAGGTATTTACTTTTACAGGGCAGAGTACAGGAGAACATATTTGTGTGTGATAGAGAAGTAAAGTGAAGTTGACCCAGGGGATGATGGGAGCTTTAAACTCATTAGTCCTCACTACTGTTATGGCCGACCTGTTGGTAACCCTAGCAACTGTCGCCGTGGGCCAGCAAGTGATGCCCTACTGTAGCATTATGCAAGCAAAGGCCAGACGTGCCTCGAGTTTATGAGACTAAACAAACAAACTCAAAACACCTACAAGCGGTTTATCTCCGCTGTCTCGGTGATTGTTCTGCCTGCCGCACAACACAAGGGCACCCTGACAAAACACACTGCTGTTCCATGGAGAATACACAAAGCAGTGTGTAGGAAGATGGGGATATTTGATGTGAGTGACGTGATGTTTGTGTAAATGTGTTTGTACAAAAAAATAAATAAATAAAAATAAATGCAGAGGTGGGATTGAGAAGCTAATAAAAGTACTTTTAGAAAGTTTAGCTGCTTTACTGACAGAAAACATTTCAACAAAAAGTCAGTGTCTGTGTCAGACTTGAATGAATGTATGTAGGTAGTGGCATGTATGAAGCAAAGAGATTTAAAAGCCCCCAACACAGTGATTCCCAACCAGGCGTACATGTACCCTTTGGGATATGTGAGCATATTACAGGGGGTATGTGGAAAAATTTCTCAGGTGTGTAAAAAAATAATAAAAAAGGACTGAGATATGTAGGACCCTTTGATTTCTGCAATGTGGAAAATGCAAATGGAATCACGGAATTAACACAAAATGGTATCCAGTATAAAACATGGAATATCATGGAATTTGCTCATTTGGGGTATTTGATTTTATCTTCTCCCTGGGCTGCCACCTTATTGTGGTGGAGAGATTTGAGTGTCCCAATGATCTTAGGAGTTATGTTGTCAGTGGCTTTATGCCCCTGGTTAGGTCACCCAAGGCAAACAGGTCCTAGGTGAGGGATCAGACAAAGCGTAGCCCAAAGACCCCTATGATGAGTACTACAGATGGACTTAGTGTTCCCTTGTCCGGACGCGGGTCACCGGGGCCCTACTCTGGAGCCAGGCCTGGAGGTGGGGCATGTTGGCGAGTGCCTGGTGGCCGGGCCTTCACCCATGGAGCCCGGTCGGGCACAGCCAGAAGAGGAGACGTGGGTCCCCCTTCGGGCACACCATCTGTGGGAGGGGCCGTAGGGGTCCAGTGCATTGTGTGTTGGGCGGTGGTCGAAGGCGGGGGATGTGGCGGTCTGATCCTCAGCTACAGAAGCTGGCTCTAGGGACATGGAATGTCACCTCTCTGGTGGGGAAGGAGCGAGGTGAGGTTGAGAGGTTATGACTAGATATAGTCAAACACATCTCAATGCACCGCTCTGGCTCTGGAACCAGTCTCCTTGAGAGGGGTTGGGCACTCTTCCACTCTGGAGGTGCCAAGCAGGAGTGGGCATACTTATACTTGGACATACCCCATATTGGTGCCTGTACGTTGGGGTTCACCCCGGTGAACGAGAGGGTACCCTCCCTCCTCCTACATGTGGGGGGATGGGTCATGAATGTTTTTTGTGCCTATACGCCTAACAGCAGCTCAGATTACCCACCCTTTTTGGAGTCCTTGGAGGGGGTGCTGGAGAGCGCTCCTAACGGGGGTTCTCATCTTTCTGCTGAGGGACTTCAATGCTCTCGTGGGTAATAACAGTGAGACCTAGCGGGGCGTGGTTGGGAGGAACTGCCCCCCCCCCCCCCCCCGATCTGAACCAGAGTGGTGTTCTGTTATTGGACTTCTGTGCTCATCATGGATTGTCCATAACGAACACCATGTTCAAGCATAAGGGTGTCCATGTGGGCTCTTGGCACCAGGACACACAAGGATGCAGCTCGATGATAGACTTTGTTGTCCTTTCATCTGATTTGCAGCCGCATGTCTTCGACACTCAGGTGAAGAGAGGGCGGAGCTGTCAACTGACCACTACCTGGTGGTGAGTTGGCTCCGGTGGTGGGGGCGGATGCCGGTCAGACCTGGCAGATCCAAATGTAAAGTGAGGGTCTGCTGCGAACATCTGGCAGAGTCTCCCATCAGATGGGGCTTCAACTCACACCTACGGGAGAACTTTGAACACGTTCCGGGGGAGGTGGGGGGCATTGGGCCTCATGCAAGAACGTGTTCGTATTCTTATCCTAAATTTCTCTTTGTTCGTACAAAGGGTTCGTACGAACATGCCACGTCAGATTCAACAAACTCTTCTATCTTCAGGAAAAGTGTGTAAATGAGCTGCGTAAATTCACCTGTTCGTATCCAGCTGCTCGTGCACGCGAGAGATTAGCATAATTACCACCCCAAAAACACCATATAAGGCTATGTTTCCTACCTCAGATACAAGGAAGTGTCCATTCATGAAAATGACAGCGAAAATTAAAATGAAGAACTTTACGAGTTCAGAGGTTGAAGACCTGCTGTCAAGAGATCCAGAAAAGAAAATCTGTCATTTTTAGTAGGTCAGCTATGGAATAAAATGAGCAGCTAAATGTATTAACTGTGTTAAATCATTTTCATTTATTCAGAAGCCGCAAAGTCACGTACTGTACCCCCCACCCCCAGCCCCCCGCGCGTGGTCTCAGTTGTGGTTCTGAAATAAGCATTTTAAAATGTTTTCAAAATATGTCTGGCACTTTGGAGAAAATCCAGGAGTCGCTGGAGGGATTATGTATCCTCTCTGGCCTGGGAATGTCTCGGAGTCCCCCAGGACGAGCTGGAAAGTGTCGCTGGGGAGAGGGAAGTCTGGGTCTCTCTGCTGCTGCCACCGAGACCTGATCCCGGATAAGCCGGCCAGACGGACAATTTAAATTGTTAGTCTAAACTATTACATTTAAAATTACAACTCTAATTCAAGCAGACTAGCCTATTGTCAACAAAATTATGGAGTGTAATTTATTTTCAACTCAAAATATCTTCAAACTAACAAAATATAAAGTTACTAGGGAGGAAAATCCGTCTGGATAACAGCAGACTGACTGCTGGTAAAATATACGACAGGTCTGGACCACATGAGAATTTTGTTCGTATCTGAAAAAAATCTTAGAATACGAAAACATTGGTGAATGCCACAAATTCTCCTAAATCACTCGTACGCACAACTTAAGAACAAATCTGTGCGTACGAACGGTTCTTGCATGAGGCCCATTGAGTCCTAGTGGGCCATGTTCCATGCCTCCATTGTCGAGGCGGCTTACCTGTGGCTGTAAGGTTGTCGTGCCTGTTGTGGAGGCAACCCTCGAACCTGCTAGTGGACACCGGCGGTGAGGGATGCTGTTAGGCTGAAGAAGGAATCCTATTGGGTATTTTTGACCTGTGGGACTCCGGAAGCAGCCGAAAGGTATCGGCAGTCCAAGCAGATTGTGGCTCGGGTGGTCGCTGAGGCAAAAACTCGGGCATGGGAGGAGTTCGGAGAGGCCATGGAAAAAGACTTACGTACAGTTTGGAGGCGATTCAGGTCCACCATCTGGAGTCTCGGGGGG